TTTCATTAATACAATGGACTGAAGTATTTATCCATGTTATGCTGGCAGAATCATTTAACATTTTCAAGTCTTATGAATAATTATATTTCTAGATGATATGGAATGGAATGGAATCCTCAGTATCTTTTATTTTTGACTTGTCTATGTGGTACTGAATTCTTTTTTGGGTAAACTTTATTGTGAACATTTGTGCACCATTAATGGAATGGAATCTTTATCCATGTTTTGCTCCCACATTTAAGTGTTTCTGGATGAGTGAAATTGACTTTAACAACAAAATTTGCAAACTTTTACATTTTGAGAACATGCTATCATTTTCTGCATAATTTTCGCTTTTTCTGCATAATTCGCTTAAGCCCTTATTTTAACTTAAGTCATTTTCAATTCGCTTCAACATCACAGAGTTGGCTTAAGCCAATGAGCCATTCGCTTAAGCGGATCCTTATTAGCTTAAGCGAATTATAGTCCTGTGAATCAGTGCTCCCTATCCCAGATTCGCTTCATTTTAATAAAATTCGCTTACATCCGCTTTAAGCAAAAAACACTTACGCTTAAGCGATTTAAACAGCGCTTAAGCGAGTAATCAGCACAAAATCCATGCTTCTCTGTCCCAAATTCGCTTAAAATTACAGATATTTGCTTGGACGGGCTTAAGCGATTAAAGATTCGCTTAAGCCATTTTTTGTCGCTTAAGCGGGGATCCCAGAAATGTTTCGCTTAAGCCAAAAGTCCCGCTTAAGTAAGAAATCACTCAAAATTCGCTTAAGTCATTTCACATTCGCTTAAGCGAATGTGAACATGAGAGGATCCGGATCCATTACTCCTTCGTAATCCTAATCATTGGATAAAAAATTAACGATAGAAAAGTTATATCAACTTTTAACAAAGATGGGGAGAATATTAAAATCACCTTTGTTGTTTGTAGGAGGATGTTTCCACTGCTCCTTCCCATGGCATTATCAAAAGCCTTATTCCACCCCACACCTGAAGAAAAGCATATTTTAGTTGTTCCCACTGGAAATATATTCAACTAAAAAGTATTATTCATTAAACTTCGTGAAGAGTAACAACTTTTTTAATATGTAAACAATAACCTTTTGAAAAAGTGGTAACAATGATTGATTTGATCCCATAGTAGTATTGATTTGACCCCTTATTTATAAGCTAATCGAACTGACGAAGACTTTTAGTTTACGGTGAATCTTACCTTTATCTCAAGTGGTGCTCCGATCTGTGTACCTCAAATTTTATTCCAGTGAAGAAGACGACAAACTTATTCTTCGTCAATGTTATGTTTTTGCTGTACGCAACACAACACACCAAATATTATTATACATTAAATTAAGAGTTGCACAGATTATTTATACATCATGGAATCATTTTAATTACTAAAACAGGCATTACTTGAATTTAGAAGGTTTACTCAGGTCTTACGCTTTGCGATGTCAGCTACATGTAGGTGTAAAGTTGCATTCATATTTTAACCCTAAGAAATCCAAGTGATATGCTAAGTGTTGAAACCTTCAACAATCAAAACACATGGAGTTCTTTTCTTATAAAACTTTTATATATATACAAAGAGAGTGAGAGGAGAGATGAAAAATATTAGTGTAATTTTAACTCATTTTTATACTGTTAAAATTTTACAATTATAAAAATATACTTAAATGATTTTTATTTTCATATAGCTTTTGAAGTTTTTTTGTCTACGCTATAATAATCATGATGTGAAGGGATAAAAATTTATGAATAAAATATGAAAATAATTATAAGGGTGAAAAATTTATTTATATATAAAGAGAAAATTTATTTGTTTATTTAATTTAAATTGAAAATATTAGCTTTTTGTTTGAGTAAGCAATGGAATGCTTGCTAAAAGCAGAATCAGACACACACGCCTGCTTCGTTCAAACAGTGACACCCACGAAGAAGGAGAAAATGTCGATTTCACGCCGTACTTTTAAGTATATTACGAGGAATGCTACTGGCATATTTTTTGTAATATATTTTTTAATGTTGATTAAAATTTATTAAAAATTTGTATAAATTAATTTTTTGTATTTTTAAATTTTTAATAAACTTTAATTAATAATAAATAATATATTGGATAAAGTGTGTTAAAAAAATGTATTTATAGCGTTATTATTATGTTGCATGCCCATCTTCTTTGTTTATTCTTCATAAAGATTGGTTTTGATTTAATGGATTATTACTATACGATAATTAATAGAAGATCTAAATCTCTTTAGAAACTGGATAAGAAGGAACTATTCAACAGCATCCATGATTAAGAACAATGCCATGTGAAGTGCAAAATCATTTTATCTGTAATATGTATCATTGTGTTGCACTATGTATAATTCAGTAGATAATGTTTTTAATTAGCATCTTTTTAATCAATATTCTTAAAATGTTCATTAATAAATCAACCAATAAAATATCACAAAAATTATATTAAAAATTATAATAAAGTTTATTAACATACTCTTAATTTTCTTTTAATTTTAACCAATATATTAAAAATGCTTACTGGTATTTATCTTTTAACACCTGGGATTTTGTATCTCTTTCTCCCTTAGACAGACCAAATGACACTTGAAAATGTATATGTATATAAATAAAATGTATGATTAAATATTATTAAGTATTAAATTTGGTAAAATATATTTTTAATATTTTTTATTAATTAATTTTTATCAATTTAATTGTTAATTTATGTGATACTATAAAAAATTATACAATATAAACATCTGTAAATATTTAATATATATATATATAATATTTTTATGAAATATAAAAATTTATGTTTAATACAAATCTTAGCGTACTGCAATATTAAATAATTTGTCGAATTTTGATATAATTCAACTAAATTTTGTTTATTTACTAAATAATCAACTCAGGTAATATTAAAATGTATTCGATTTATTATATATTTGTGGTATAATTGAAATAAATTAATCCATATTTTTCATTTAAAACAGTAATTAATATAAAAAATTTACTTAGCTAAAGTGATCCTTAATTTCATGTAGAGTAATGCATATTATTCTTTTTCTTTATATCATTAGGTAACTAATAAAGAAAAAATTTAAGATTAATACTTTAATTTTTTTACATGAATTTTTATATAGTTTTTTAATTTATTTTAAACTAAATCAATTTTCTGTAAATGAGTATTAGAAATAAAAAGTCTTAGAAATTTTATAAAATATATTTAATTATTACTCAATGTTTTAAATATAAATATATTTGTGATTAACTAATACAAAATATATTTTTATGATCTTTCACATTTTTTAATTTTTAATAGATAAAAAAATCTCTATATTAAATTTCATAATTATAATTGAATTTTAACTTAATAACTAATAATTGTTATTCGAATTGTTAAAAATTAATTAAAAATAACTTAAAAATACCACACTTATTACAATTCACCTTTCTTCCCTATGTTGACTAGGAATGGGGCCATTGACTATGGGAGTACATACACTTATTGGTTTGGTTAGGTGGCATTTTCTTTCTAGTATTCATTTCTAGCATATTGTTGAGGTCAAGAAATTATGTACTAATATACAACGCTTTTTTATTAAATATTATAAATTTAAAAAAAAATTTAATTTATTAAACTTTTTGAAATTATTTTTCTGTTTGGAGTTAGTCCACATGTCAATAATTTTATCAAAATGGTTGACGAAAATGTTGAATTTTTATTTTTTTAAAATAAATTTTACCATCAAAAGCATAAAATAACCAGATCGTAACATATGTCAACATCAGTATAATTTTGTAATATGATTAGTGAAATTAGTCATGAACAACTTGAAACTCTTAAATGATAACATGTGTCACAATTTAAATAAGTTTCGCTATAAAAATGGTAAGAAATATATAGTGTAAAAGTTTTACCATATTATTACACAATGAGCTAAAATGTGTCATGTATCAGATTTCTGCAAGTTATACAATTTTTACAGTGAAACTTACTCAGACAGTGACACGTGTCACTATTTGAGAGTTATGTGCTATCTATGACAAAACTGGTTTTTAATTTCACCAATTATATTACGAAATTATACTAATATTGACACATGTTACAATCTAGTTATTTTATGTTTCGGATGATAAAATTTAGTTTAAAAAATTTAATATTTTTATCAGCTATTTTAACAAAATTATTACCACATTTACTTACTCATTCTAAATATTTTTTTTAAAATTAATAAATTAAAAATGTATTTTTAAATTTATAATATTTAAATAAAAAATATGATATACGCACTCTCTCTTCATTTTAAATAATAATTATAAATATTTTTAAAAATATATTAAAAAAGCACACTAAAAAATAAAATTTAATTAAAAATAATAGAATATTATAAAATTTAATATATTAATAATATTAAACATATAATTTTTTCAAAAAATTATTATTAATTTTATGATTATAAATATACATTAAAATAAATTGAATTATAAGAATAAAAAACATCTTTAAATATATTTATTGTTAATATTTTATATTTTATTATCATAAAATTTATATTAATTAAAAATTCATTAATTAATTTTATCATGAGTATTTTCTATATTTATATTAATAAATCAGTTATTTATTTTATTAAAGGTAGTAGTTTTTTTTAAGGAAAAAGAAAAGTCATTGGAAATTGTATAATTATTGTGTCTCAGCTGGACCCCATCGAAAAATAATAATTTCCAGGAAACGAGGTGATTGAGAAGGACAACTAACGGAGAGTGAAGAACGGCGTTAGTTATGTGTGACAAAAGGAGGAGGAAAGGAGCGAAAAAGTGACGTGTGGTGAAGACAGAAGAAACGTGCAACGTTAAGGGAGAGAGACGAACGCCTCAAAAGAAAGACCGGTTCTTGTCAGCCAAGCCACCTGTCAAACCCTCTCTCTTAACGCGTCAATTGGAAACTCTTTGTCTCCTTCTCAACCCTCTATATATCACCCTTCTCCCACTCTTCCCATGTCCAAACTCACCCCTTCTCTAACGTTTCCCTTTTCCATTTTTACCCCTTCTCTTCTGAGGAGGGACAACAAAACAACAAGAACACAACACCCCAACCAGAAAAAAAAAAAAAAAAAACTCATTCAAAGATCCACACCCTCTTACCTTCTTAATCTCCTCTTTCCCTCTAATTATTTTTTTATCGCCATGGGCACCGAAGTTCTGCGGCCACAGAACTGCTTAATCGAACGGATCAGGGTTCCGCCGGCGGCGATTTCTCGCCGGAGGGCGTATGGGAATTATGCTAACAACGGTTGTAATTTCTACGCCGGCAGGACTTACCGGAAAGCCGCGACCCGACCCGAACAGAGGAAACGGGTTCCGGACAGAAAACCGAGCTCCGATGATTCGAGGGTGGCGAGGGATAGCGGGTTGGTGATGGAGAAGGTTACGATTCTTCGGAGAGGGGAATCGCTCGACTCGAAGATAAAGAGCGAGGCGTTGAAGAGGGAGGGTGATGATTTGGTGGTCATTGGAACCCATAGGCTCGGACCCGACCCGGAAATGGTACCCAAGCAGATTCGGATCGTGAATCTGAAGCACGGTTGCGACGTTTACGCCGGATCGGCGTTCGCGATGTCACCGTCGCCGAGCGCGCTTCCGTTACCGTCTTTTTGGAAGAAGCAGTCGGCGGCGGCGGTTGATGACTCAGCCACGCGGGATCTGAGGCGCTTGCTTCGGCTCGAATGAGCCGCGACGGGTTTAATTTCCGGGTTTCGGGTCGGGTTAGACCCGACGGCTGTGGATGTTTTTCCCCTCGTCTCTCCCTCCTCTTTAATCTAGAATCTTCTTTTTCTTTTTCTCCGTTGCGCCTCTCCTATTTTCTAGATCTGACCCGACCGTGATTTTTTTAAACGGAAGGGTGGGCCTGAAATTGAGGAAAATGTTTGGGGCGAAAATGTTAATAAAAGAAGTTTGGAGTAGCGCATGTAAGATTGTATGATCTTGTGGTCGTGGTGGAGGTTGTTAAGGGTAAGACTAGGTTGTAATATCAGGTTAGAATGGAAAATAAATAAATTTCTAAAAGAGGAAATATATATTGGAGGAAGATGGGGGGTTCATTTGTAAAATCCGGAAGTGTATGGGTTGAGTTTATGGATTCTGCTCTGTTGTGAATTCACCAGCGTCTTGTAGGTTTGTACCCTTTTGTACTGTAAAGTAAAAAAATTAAATAGGGAAATTTGAGCAGATTCATATTTTCTTAGTCGTTGTTTCAGAATTTTTTTCTAGTTTTCATTTTGTTTGGTCGTGAAATACTCTGCAAAGAGAAACCCCTGACAAGAAGAATCAACCTAACATAATAACACAAGTGCTAGTATAAAATAACGTAAAATCCTAACTGGAAAGAACAATAAATACACTTTTTTTATAATTGAATATGTTTTTATTTTTTAACTTGAAACTAATTAGAATTTGAAATAATAATTGAATTTGAAACGGGAGAGCAGAACATCTTGAATCCTTGATTGGCAAACCCCACTAAGGTTTGGGTGGAGCTCTTAAAGTAAACATGTTTACTGCACATTCCCAAATCCAAAAGTATAAAAAATAATATGATAATATTGATATAGAAAAAAGCAATGTGAGCTTTTATGGCCTATGATTTTTAAAATAATTTTGATAAGATGAAAATGATCAAGTTATAAATTATGGTCTATTGTTTCTCTGTATATCCTGAAATGGTATTCTGGTTTTGGGACCGGACAAAGAGGTGGGGATTGGAAATGAGAAGATTTGAAGAGAGACAAAAAAATCTGCATAATTTAGTGTGTGGTATGTGCAGAAGAAGACGAAGAAAGGGTGGATGTGTGGTGGCCTTGCAATCGCAGTTATCTCGGTGTGTCGGCAGCTATCATACCCTACCCATCCTTCAGATCATCAGCTTGTGGTAGAAACCAAACTTGCCGATGCCCAAGGCCACTCTTTCTCTCTCCACAAACTCAATAATTTATAAAAATCATAGACTGATTATTTTGTTTTAAAAATTATTTATAAACTATGGTATGGAGAATCTCAGAATATGATCCACTTTTTCTCAGGAACCCAACTTTTGTGCCAGCTTTAACTTTTTCTTTTTTAATGTTGAGTGACTATTGACACTTTTATGCTTTTATTTTAAATGTTATATCAAATAATTTTATTAATAATATGGTTAAAAAAAAACTTTAAATTTAAATATTTATATAAGAGTAAAAAAAAGAAACAATAAACAAATTTCATATTATGTCAGCTTTTAGAATGCTGCTTCCTCATTAAAAGTTTTCCTTTCGCTTCTTTTTACTAGAAAAAATTATTCTTTTTTATTTTAATTATAAGAACGATTTTTTAATATGTCCAAGGGTACATGCTAAAAAATATTAAATATATTTTATTAAATATTATAATATCAGAAAAATATGTTTTAATTTTATGATTTTTTATATAATAAATATTTATTTTTAATTTTTTTAATATATGTTCTTCAGGACATATTTTAAAGTTGTAAAAATAAAAGTCCATTTACAAATACACTGTTAAATAATAGAATTATCAAAATATTAAAAAATAGAGCATAATTATTTAAAATTTTATCAAAAACGATTATTTACTAATTTTATAAAATAATAGTAATAAAATAAAATAAACTACTAAAGTGTAAAAAACTGCAAAAAGGTAATGAATATAATTTTTATTCTTTATTAACAAAATAGAGAGTATTACATTTTGATGCACACACAAATTACTTGGGATACAGTTTTAAGGCTGACATAAGAAGGAGTAATACAATTTTTTTTTTTTATTTCAGTCCATAGTTATCAATAGTGGCCACGCTATCATGGTAGAATAGAGCGGCCTAATCCTATTATGGCAACCCTATAGCATTCATTGCGTGGTTTATTGTTGCGGCTGTATTGTGGCTGTAACGGCTGTTATGTTGTTCTCTTTGAAAGTTACAATTTTGTCCTCTATTTCTTAACGTTGAGACTCTTAAAGGGGACAATCTTCAGATTTTGTCCCTCTTTATTTTTTGAAGTTTCTTCCTCCTCTCACGAACCCTAGCTCTTCTTTTAATTCTCTATGTAGCTCTCCTATGTTCTCCCTATTTCCATTGCTAGTGCAAGGCTTTCATCTATAGCGAGGCTTCTAATAAGGAAGAGACAATTTTTTGTCATTTTTTTCATTTCTGACAAAACTTCTAAGGTGACCTAAATTATTTTGAGTCATTTTCTTCATCTCTTGTCATCTTCTTCAAGGTCAGCAAAACTTCTGACATCATTCAAACACTTTCTAGTCATCTTCTTCAGCTCTGGCAAACAACAAACTTTCTAGTGACTAAACAATTTTTTTCTATTTTTTTCCCTTCTTTGTTTTAATTCTTCTACTCTATTCAGTTTCAAATTTCAAAGCTTAAAGTAGAAGTAATGGTTCCTCCTGCCAATTAGTCATAAGGAACCGCCTCTATTTCGATTTCATCCTATGCATTAGTGAAGCCTTCGGGAAATAATTCAGATATATGTTGGCAATGGAACAATTTGAAAGACATAAATAATAAAAAGTCTATTACTTATGACTTTTGTAGAAAAATGACTACTGACAGTATTACGTGAGCAAAGAGACATCAAATGGGAGTGAAGGGAGATGTTGATAGGTGCCCAATGGTTCCCAAAGAAATAAAAGAAACACTAATAGTAGCTCATGAAAAGAAGAAAATTGAAAAAGAGACATATTTACTTCAACCTGATGAAGATGATGATGAAGAAGAAGAGGTGCAAGAAATTCAAAATATTCATAGTGAAAAAAGACATGCAACCTCAAGTGTTGCATCAACTTATGTTAGTGGTTGTACTGCCACCCAAAAAAAAATGTTAAGGGCCTATTGGATTTATTATGGTTAAAGAGTCTAGAAACAAGTATCAAATTAGCAAAAACAAAAAGACAAACAAGTATAAATGATGCTTGTGTCAAGACAGCGAGAGCAAGAATAATTTAATACATGGAGCGATTCCTTTGTAAGAATAGAATTACTTTCAACATTGTGCGCTCAAAAAGCTTCAAATTAATGGTTGAAGCTATTGGAAACTATGGTCCACATTTAAAGCCTCATAGTTATCATAAGTGTAGAGTTCCTCTTCTTAAAAAAGAGTTAAAGTATACAAAGGAAATGTTGAAAAGTCGTGAAGAAGAAAGAGAAAAATGTGGATGTTCAATTATGTTAGACGCATGGACAGATAAAAAAAATAGAACATTGATCAATTTTTTAGTAAATTGTCAAATTAGTTCTATGTTTGTAAAGAGCATTAATGCATCTGCTTATATGAAAACTGGAGAAAAGTTGTTTGAGCTCTTGGATAATTTTGTTAAGGAGATTGGAGAGAAAAATATTGTGCAAATAGTTACTAATAATGAAAGTAATTATGTGTTAGTTGGTAAGAATTATTCTTAACTCTCTCTAGTAATATCATTTAAACAATTTGTATTCATATTTTATTAGTTTCTAATTTTAGACTATGCAATTTAATCTTACGTAAGTTGCTGCAAGCTAAAAGACCACATTTATTTTGGACTCTATGCATTGCCGTATTTACTTGATATTAAAAGACATAAAAAAAAACACCTAGAGTCAAGAGAACAATCCAAAGAGAAGCTACTCTTGTAGGTTTTATTTATAATCATTCATTGACTTTGAACATTATGAGGAGGTTTACAAATAAAGTTGAATTGGTTAGATATGGAGTGACAAGGTTTGCCATAACATTCCTCACATTACAAATGTTACATAATTAAAAAAAACAACCTTAAAAAATGTTAACTTCTGATGAGTGGTTAAAGTCCAAAACTGAGGAAAAAGGGTAATAGACATTGTGCTTATGCCTTCTTTTTAGAATGATGTGGTTTTCAGTTTTAAGGTTATAGGGTCACTTGTGCAAGTTTTGAGGTTTGTTGATAATGAAAGAAAGTCTGCAATGAGTTATATATATGAAGCAATTGATAGAGCTAAAGAAAACATTTAAAATGCATTCAAAGGAAATGTAGACAAATATAAGGAGATTTTTGCTATAATTAATAGAAGACGGGAGTGCCAACTTCATCATCTATTACATGCTGCAGGTCATTATCTAAATCCTTAAATTTTTTATAGCAATAAACAAATTAATCCTCAAGTTATGGAGGGCTTGTTTAAATGTATTGAGAGACTATGTACAAGTGAAGATGATGTAGATAATGCTACAATTCAATTGTCAACACATAGAAGAGCTAAAAGTCTCTTTGGTTTAAGTGGAGCAAAAAGACAAAGGGCTACAATGGCTCATGGTAAGAGATTTGTTTAATTTTTCATTGTAATGTAATTATATAGATATAACACAAAAGGCTAATAAGTTGATGCATAACTTACAGCTGAATGGTAGAAGAATTATGGAGTACGTACACCACATTTACAAAATATTGCCATTAGAGTGTTGAGTTTGATTTGTAATTCATCTAGATGTGAACGAAATTGGAGTACTCTTGAGCACATAAGTAAATGTCAAGAAACTTCAATTTAAAGTTCTTATGTTGAGAGTGCAAAACTAATATATTTTATTTATGATAAAATAGATTCATTCTAAAAAAAGAAGGAGACTTGAGCATCAAAAGTTCTAAGACTTGATTTTCATTAAATATAACCAAACTCTTAATGAACGTTTTGAATGTTTTGACATGGTGGATCATATTATCTTATCAGACATTGATGATAGTAATAATTGGTTGCTAATGCAATTGGGGTTAGTGAGCCTATAACCTACCCTAAGGCGACAAGTTAGATCAAAATCCAAGACAACTACAATTACTTCTTCTAAATATAAGGTAAAAGGGAGAAAAATTGTATAAGAAGAAGAAGAAGAAAGACTCTGAAGAAGAGGAGGAGGAAGAAGTTCTTTACAAAAAATAGTGACAAAAGAAAAAATGAAGAAGACATGACAAATCTTGGAGATGAAGATGATGATAATAACTATTAAAATATTTGTATTTAAATTGAATATTTAGTATTTTTAAACATCTAAGCATTCGAGATTTAAATTTATTTAATTCTTATATTTTATTTTTATTTGTTATTGACATTTGACATGTGTTATATTCTTAAACTTTTATTTTTAATCATTAATATTGCATATGCTTTTAAGTTAGATCTTAAATTTATATTCTTCAGCATACATATATGTGTAATTTAATTTATATAGATATATTTATAATTATTAAAATAGTCATTTTGCTATCCGCTATCCCGTTATAGCATTTTTAGGGTCAACCGTTCCACACCGTTATCCAAAATTAACTACTATGTTTTAGCCTATAAATACAAAGAGAGAGAGAGAGTTAAAAAAAAGATAAATAATATTTTTTATTTAGAGTCTCATTTAAGGCTATATCATATAAATTAAAAACAATAATATTTTTACACAGAAAGATAGATATCTACTTATTTTGGAAAAGGGGAAATTACAAAGGCTTACCCTGAAGGAACTATTTCCAGATTGTATAGCTTTTGAAAATTGAGCGTGGGTTCAATTGAAGCCGTGCTTTTCTTTTTAAGTTAAAAGCATTTTATTTTGCTGGACCTCTAACAAATGATGTTGGGTAATTTAATATCACACTCACCCTTATAAATAAGGTCACACATATTTCTTTTTCACCTTGGGCTTATTCATTTTGCGTTAATCTTTTTAAAATTAAAATTTTGAAACTGATTAATAATTTTCGATTTTTTTTATAAAATTAAAAAATAATGTATTTTAAAAATATAAGGGTGCAAAAATTCAAACATTGTCCCTTCTCCGTATTCCTATCTGGAGGATTATTTCGGCCCAGTCCTGAGCAGCCCATCATTAATTTCAGAGGGTTATGCCCACGAAAAAAGAAGATATTGATACAATTTAAATTAAACATTTAAATAATAAAAAATGAAAATTTTTATATAAGTAAAAATTAATTTAATTTTTAAAAAATTATATTGTTTAACTTTTTAAAATTTTGAGAATTTTAAATTATAAATTTTAGTTGAGTTAGATATATATTTTTTTGTCTTTCTAAAATTACTTAAATTCTCTTTTGGTATCTATATTTTTTATTTTAATATCTAATTAATGTAAAATATTTAGAATTAATTCTTACATTTACTTAATTTGTGTTAATATTATATGCAGCTAAATACAAAATAAATAAATAAATAGAATAAAAAAATAAATTATGCACGTGAGAAATTAAATAAGAACATTCCAATTAGATGAAACATATGTTTCATCACTTCTCTTGATATTATTTGATAGCTTTTCACGTCATAAATAAAGATTATAATAGTAGAAAGATAATGTAAAACTTTGTTAGTCATATTAGTGACTAATAAAATTAAATAATAACATAAATTAATTATAAAGATTTTACATTAATTAAGAACTAAAACAAACAAAAAATTATAAAAATTAAAAGTAAATTTTAAAAATTTTACAAAAATTAAAAATGTATTTAACCTCTTTTAATTATAACATTTATGGTGGTGAAAATATTTTATGCGGCCACTGCACTGGTGCAAATTCAGAAGGTGACACAGTATAATAAGTTTTAGTTATTTACACGTATGCCCTTAACAATTTAAAACAAAATTTACCTTTTCGAACTCCAATTAATGTTGCAAAGACAGCAATGGAAACAGACTCTGATTCCAACCATTCATTCATGGAAAAAAAAGAAAACCGATATACTTTTTTGATGTAATAAAAATCAAATGTAATGTCTGAATGATCTAAGCTCTTGTTCAAGTTTCAGCTGAACATAACTTTTCCTGAAACAACGAAAACTCCTCATATAAGGAATTAATGAAGTTAGGTCTTTAATTATATTTCATATATGTGAAGCGCATATGTAACTGATAGTTGAAGCCCAGTCTTACTTACGTTCTTTCCAAAACCAAAACTCTGATTTGCTGATTGGCTGTGAAGTTTTAAGATTATCATTACATGGTCGTTTTGAAAGGAATCAAGAATTAATTAGACTAATTCAGGAGTTAAATCTATAAAAATTTCATTAGTTTAATTACCTAACACTCTTTTGTCTTCATATAATTGGGAATTTTGTACAACTTTTTATAAAGAAAACAATGCTGGAATTTTAATCAGTAATGTCACATAGTCAGCAAAAGGATACGAGCGTGTTCGAGAGAGGTGGTTTTGATACAATCAAAAGAATTAGTCACACTAAAATCGTCAACCATGTATATGTAGGAACAAATTTTCAATTATAAAGTAAGTTGAAGAGGGTCATAAGTCTTTTTATTTTATTTTTGATGTTCAAAAACAACTTAAATTAAAGAAAAATAAAAAATTGTCAGGCATTTTGACCGTTTCTACTCCTACCATAGAAAAGGTGGGGAAGTAATTGCAAAGCTCGTGTGAAAGCTTGCTTCCATAAAACCAACCACAGATTAAGAAGAAAATCAGTGGAAAACAAGGTAGCATGACAGGGGAAACATTCTCCGCAGTTAGAAGCCTTACTATAAAGCTTCTTCCCCCTATCACTCTTTTTCTCTTCCAATTGCTAATCCCTGTCGTAACCAACAATGGACACTGCACAAACTTGAACAAATACTTAACCGCTGCTCTCCTTGTCATTTGCGTCTTCGGCTGTGTCTTCGCTTTCTTCACCGACAGTTACATCAGCCCTGACGGTGAGAGGCATTATGCCGTCGTCACGGCCAAGGGACTGTGGCCTTCTCCGGCGTCGGAGTCCGTTGACTCGTCGGTGTATAGGCTCCGGTTTGGAGACTTGATTCATGCTTCTCTTGGGTTGATGGTTTTTGCTGTGGGGTTACTTGGCACCAACACCGTGCGTTGTTTCTTCCCCGGATTTGATTCTGACGACAAGATTCTATTGCAGGTGCTGCCCCCTGTCTTTGGGGCAATTGCTAGTGTTGTGTTACTCGTGTTCCCTAATTATCGCCACCATTGAATTCGGTACCCTACAAAACAAGCTCTGATTCTAACCATATCACCCAGAATTAAGTCTCTGCTTCATTTGTTTGTACTAACTAATTAGCTCTCTTTCAATTTCTATATTTTCTTAAGCACCATAAGATCTATTTTATGTAAGCTGAGAGGAAAGAAGATAGGAGGATGAAAAATAAGATAAAATGAAATTAAAATTATATATTTTGTGAATGAATAAAATAAAAGAACAAAATTATAGTAAATTAAAATATTCATAATAGTTATAAGAAGTTTATTATGACTTAAAAGTTACACTTTTATTTTTTTTTAATTTTTATATTATATATAAAAGTAAAAATCAACATAAATAAATAAAATCCTATCTCCTACCCTCACTTTCCCCAATTTGGAAAAGTTTTTTTTAGTGCGGGTTTCATATATCTTTTTCTTCCTTTTCCTTATTTTATAATATTCAAACGGATAACTTTTTTGTTTGTTTTTTTTTAATTTTCTTCTTCTTTTTGTCCAGTTTTTTCTTTCCTTGACTTTGATATGCCTGGTTTCGCAACCAACGGAACGCAAAAACTTTAAAAAAAAAAACATCTGTTGAAAATAAAATACTTTCTTAACAAAAATTAAAAGAATTGTCATCAAAATTTATTTAATAAATTTTAAAAAAACTTTTAAAATATATAATATTTAAAACTAAAAATAAGTTCAAAAGTCATTTATATTTTCTGTTCAAATAATAATTATTTTAAATTAATTAATTATATATATATATTTATTTTAATTTTTAAAAATATTTATTTAACTCTTAAATAATGATAATTGTTATTATTATTTTAAAAAAATTATTTATTAAAATATTAATTAATATCTTAAAAAAATTTATTTTAAAATTTATTTTAATTTAACAGGTTTGCTTTCTGCTTTTACGTATCTCTAGATGTAACAAGGAACTCAAAAGTAGGTAATTTTCTCAACTGATTACATGATTTGTTGATTAAATTAAAATTAACAAAAAAATTATTTTAAAATTAAAAATATTTTTATAAAATTTTAACATTTATGGTACAAGATAACATAGTTAGTTATACAACGATAAAAATAGATAGTGAAGATAGATGATACACAAATCGTTAAAAAATATTTTATTTGTAAATAAGATATTTAAATTTATATTTGAATTTAAAGATTCATATTAAAAGAGAATTAAAATAGTATAAGATATACATAAATTCTTTATAATTTATTGGACAACTAAAAATAATTTAAATTACATATAGATATTACAAATAAAATAAAATAATAAATTTAAGTATTCAAATATTTAGTTATTTAATTCATCAAAGTTAGATACCTAGCTAAAAATCTTTTAAATATGAAATTAGTTGTATTTAATGAAAGAAAACATATTTGAAGAAAACAAATGATAAGATATAGTTAAATTAATTGGTAAGATAATTATTTAATTGAGAAATTAAAATATTATTGAATAAGCTTGTAATGCATAAAATCTAAAGTGTCATGTTTGTAATTTATTATTGAGTAATCAATAATTTTTTGTACTTGTTAAATGTTAATTGAATAATTATTTTATATTCGAATAGATTTATATGGAGTTAAAAAAAAAAGTAAACAGTAATTCCAGCATGAATAATGAGTTGGTGTGAATAGTAACTTATGCGTGAATAGTGCCAAATTTTTTTTTCTAAAATTTTGCCTATAAATAGGTGTACTTGCACGAAATCTTCACTTCTTCACAATTCTCAAAGGTTCTAGGAAGACCCAAGGTCATATATCATCTTTTCTCTCATATTAAACCTTCCTAAACTTATATTTCTCACCAGATCTGAGATTCTACATCTATTCTGAATAATTTGAAGTAAATTTCTATAAATTTGAAGTTAGATTTACCGTTCATTTTTCTTATTCTTCTCTTTCTTATAGATAGTTGATAATATTTTAGGAGAAACTTCGTTGTAAAGCTAAATCTTCGATGGATCTTGCTTTAAAACAAGTAATATTTTGTAGATCTGATGTGAATCATTGTTTTAAGATATATCAGATCTCTTGGATAAAAACTATTTTCTATGTTGTAACTACTTCTAATTGATTTAAAACTTGAGATTTGGCTAAAATATTATGAATTGTTTTAGCTGAACTGTTAAGAATATAATTTTGTCTATGTTGCATTGATGAGAATCAAGGAGGGCTCATTGAAGACAAAGACTTGAACGTATTGGAAGGACTTCAAGGGCCAATGACAAGGATAAGGGCAAGGGCAAAATATAAGCATGTAGTTAGAATTAGATTGAAAGGTATTGTTCATCGCACACTGTTCACGTAGTGCTCATTGAAAAAAAAAAAAGAGAAAATATATACTACAAAAAAAATTGCAACATACAAAAATGTGTTTTTGATATATTTCTTCCAATCTTCCATTTATTTTACTTGATTCCATACCAAAAAAAAAAATTAGTTGTTATTTAACGTTACATAATCTTATTTAAATTCTTCAATTTTGTCTTATTTGCAATCTATTTTTTAGTGTGCTTATTTCTTATTTAGTCCTTTTTTTTTTCTATTGTTTTATTGGCTTCTTTAGTTTTGTCTTAGAGTTTTCTTTTATTGGCTTCACTTGTTTCTCGTTGATTGATCGTCTCTTGGTTTTGGTTGATTGTGTGGATTGGAGGTTGACTTCCTTAAGAACTCTTGAGAGCACTTAAGAGGAGAAAGACAAGAGAGAAATCATTACACAAGAGCTAATTTAGAGTGAAATACGAGTGAATATCTACTGAGTGAAAACACTTAGCGAGTGGAGAGAACCTTTTTTTTTGCATTAACTTTTATTATTTTGTAGCATGTCTCAAAAAGGAGGATCAAGTAGAGAGAGCACTCTTGCCTTACAAATTGAAAGACTTGCTTAAAGATTTGAAAGAATGTTTGAGAGACAAAATGAAGCAATAAGGAATGGTCAAGAGGCGTTGGCAAATAATGCAAGAAGGTGGTCACATGATCGTTCTCCACATGCCCATTGAGATTCTAGTAATTCTTCAAGGGAAAAAAGAAGAAATAGGAGAGATAATGAAGAAAGGAGGTATGATAGGTGGAGAGATTATAGAGAGAGAAGGAATCAAAGAAGGAGAAAAGAAGATTTAATAATAAGAGAAAATGGGAGAATTGGTGGAGTTAAAATAAAGATTCCTAGTTTTCATGGAAGGAATGATGTTGAAGCATACTTAGAGTGGGAATTGAAGATAGAGCAAGTATTCTCATGCCATGATTATATTGAAGAAAAGAAAGTAAAGGTAGTCTCCTTAGAGTTTCATGACTATGCTTTGGTGTGGTGGGATCAAATTCAAAGGGACCGAAGAAGATATGATGAGGAGCCTGTAGATACATGGATAGAAATGAAGAACCTAATGCGCAGGAGATTTGTTCCTACATACTACAATAAAGAGCTTCATACAAAGCTTCAAGGTTTGAGGCAAGGTGGAAAAAATGTTGATGACTATTATAAAGAAATAGAAGTTGTCATAATAAGAGCTAATGTATTTGAAGAAAGAGAAGCAACAATGGCCCGTTTCTTAAATGGGTTGAACCATGACATCCGTGACATAGTGAAACTTCATTCCTATATAAAACTGGAAGATTTGGTTCACCAAACTATTAAAGTAGAAGCACAATTAAAAAGAAAGGGTACTTTGGGGAAGAGTGTCTCTTCCTACAACTCAAAAGAATGGAAGAAAGAAGTAAAGGAGGAAATATCAATTAAGGATACAGTTGTGCAAAGTGGTAAACCTTCCTCTAAAACTTCTTTTAATTCTACTAATATTTCTGCTTCTCTTACTTCTCAGCATAGAGCAATCAAATGCTTCAAATGTCTTGAAAAATGTCATATTACATCCCAATGTTCAAACAAGAAAACTATGATTTTAAAGGAGAATGGTAAAATCTCAAGTGCAAGTTCATCTCAATCATCACATGCTTCAAGTGAAGAAGATAGTGAGTTTGAAGCTTTATGCCATGAAGGAGATTTGCTTATGATAAGCTGTCTCTTGAGTAGTATAGCTAAAGAGGATGACACTACACAAAGAGAAAATATTTTTCATTCAAGATACTTGGTATGTGGAAAGATTTGTTCTGTTATTGTTGATGGTGGTAGTTGTACCAATGTGGCTAGTGTTAGACTTGTTGAAAAATTGAATCTTACTACTACTCTTCACCCTAAGCCCTATAAGTTACAATGGTTGAGTGATGAAGGAGAGTTGGTTGTTAATAGATATGTTTTAATTACTTTTTCTATTGACAAGTATGAGGATGAAGTCTTATGTGATGTAGTGCCTATAGAAACAAGTCATATCCTCTTGGGAAGACCTTAGCAATTTGATAAGAAAGCTATTCATGATGGTCATTCCAACAAGTTTATTTTTGTACATAAAAGGTGCACAATCACTTTAGTGTCCATGACTCCTAGTCAAGTACATGAATATCAAAAGTCATGAAGTTAAGAAGAGAGTAAGAAAAAAAAAAGATGAGAGAAGAAATGAAAAAAAAAAGAGTGAGTTTGAGGGAAAACTTAAAAAGAAAGGGGGAAAAGTAAAGACACTTACAAGTGAGAAATAAGAGAGTGAAAAGAAAGGTGAAACACTTATAAGTAAGAAATATGAGAACGAAAAGAAAGGTGAAGAGAAAAATCAACAGGAAAGGAGAGAAAATTTGTTTGTGAGAGGAAAGGAAGTAAAAAAAAAAGTTGTTGGTCTCTCAGCCTATGTGCCTACCTTTGTATAAAGAAAGTCCTCATAATAAATTTATAGATTCCTTTGCTAACAATAATTTGCCTAGTGGTGTTTCCTCTCTTCTACAAGATTTTGAAGATGTATTCCCTAAAGAAGTATCTTACTGCCGACCTCCAATTAGAAAGATAAAATATCAAATTGAAAAGAAAGTGGAGCAACAAGCAAAGTATATCAATAAGGGAAGGAAGAAAGTAGAATTTGAACCTGGAGATTAGGT